AGTAATGTAAGCAAAGAGCATTATGCATAATGCCCACTGCAAGCGGTTAAGTAACACGCAGGGTCAAGGTTTAAAAAGCAAACTAAATAGAGGTTGTGAAAAGAACAGACGAAGCAGAGCACAAATAATCGATTAAAGCTTTATTTACACCATGTATGATTTACACCAACCCAAGTAATCCCACTGTCATTGCACTTATTAGGACAAATTAGATCCTTTCATTGACCTACATTTGATACACTATGTAGATGACAACTAGAAAGTCAATTTCACAATTTGAATATGCAAATGCAAGAGCACATCATAAGAGCTCTTACAGTGTATGTGAACAAAATGAAGCTAAGTAATAATCTAGCTGAATAAAAAACATAGATACAGAAACTGTGCCATTTGCCCATCACTCACAGTTGACTCCAGAAAACTGAAAGCACCTGGGGTACAGAGCCTAAAGCCGATCACAGGAGTGACACAACTGTGTTTTCCTGACATGGCCAGAGTGTATTACAGTGGTGTCTGGGCATAACAACAAAAACCCTGTTGGTTAAATTATGTAACATTATCGTCCCCTGCAGCCTTGTAGTTGCCTCAGTGCTCAATCACAGCATCCAGAAACTGTTAATGTCTGGCATGTCTGGACTTTGTCTGCTCGATGTTTACATAGCCTTGTGTTACACAGAATGGTCACAGATTTGATCCTTTGTGAGGTGAACCATCTCTGCTCCATTCTCTTAAGAAAATATATTTGTTCTGTTTGTAATATTGAGCAGAGCTCCAGGCAACAAAGGCAAATGCAAAGTTATAGGCTTGTGTGGGAGGGAAAATTGATTCATGCGAGAGGGAAAATAGCTGAATGCATTGCTCAGATCCAGATGCAATCATTTTAACATCTCAGATCAATATGTTTCTCTTTGTGCATATATATAGCTTCCTTGCTCCTGTTAATTACAGCATTAAAGTGGAATCTGCTGTAGCTAGAAAATATAATAATTATAATCAAACTTAAGGATCATTATAGTGACTGAAAACTTTATAGACATTTTTGACAGTTTGCCAACTGTGAAATGAAAGAGGAAAATTTAAACTTCAAAATTTAGGTGCAGGCGTGTTACTGTCAGGAAGCTGGCTCTCAATTTATTCCAAGCATTATTCTCTGAATTCCTGGTTCTGCCTTGCAAATGCAAAAATCACACCAGAGGATTTCCAGTGCATCCCAGAACCAGGAAAAAAAAGGCTATTGTAAAGAATACTCTTGTGCCAGAAAGGTCAAAACATTCTCAGCAGGCAACAGAATTCTCAACAGAAAGGCAAAAATGTCACAATTTGTGTAATTAAAAGCTGTCAGGATAAAATTATATCCTTATATTTCAACAACTCATTTTGGTAAACAAAGCCTCTAAGAAAAACATCTATGAGAGTGAATTTCACACAAACGCCAGCCTCTTATTTTAACCCCCCAATTATATATTTCTATATTTGTGTCCATTTATATTCGCTTATTTATATTTAAAATATTACCAATAGGTTTACCATTATGAATTATAACTGCATTAAACTGCTATCTCATACTACTTAAAAAACGCGCCCCCTAGTGGACTATACGATCACGATCAGAATAAACCAATCAAGATGCAGGAAAACTTGGAGCTGCCATAGACTTCCATGGTGGGAGCAGCGCGAGATCTGTTCTATATTTTGCGGACATTAAGTCATTTGCGTTTGTGCAAATCTTCAGGAATGATCGACGAGAACGACGCAGAATAACATCACGCTTCATGTAACCAAACATCCACCGTACACTGTACAAAAGCAACGCGTCCGAAGTGCGTGGATTCGACCACAGATGTGCCTTGGAGCGATACTGTGGACACGCGTGGATCTGTTTACATGCTGAAGAGAAACGAAAAGGTTATTAAACTGTACCGTTGTGTCGTGAAGGATCCAAGGGCTTAGGGTTCCTGCTGTCCAAGTGTAGTGCGGTGGGCGTCAGAATGATGAAGATGCGGCACCTGTAACCTGCAGTGGGTCTCCAGTTCCGGTGAATTAAACGGTATTCAGAACGCTGGAAAACGAGTGTACAGGTTAGGTTTCTAAATCTTTGTATTGCGATCAACTGTGTTCTTATATTGGCTTCCTGGATCATTTATCTCACAGAATTTAGTTGAACTTGGTCTAGCTAGCCTAATGGATAAAAATGGTTGGTGACTGAAAGGTGAGAGGTTCACCTGTAGAGGTCAGCTATGTGTGTTTTTGCTCTAGATTTGTAACCTTAGATTACTACAGGAGGGACTGAATCTGTCACTTTGATAAAAGCTTCATCTAAATGATTATAAGATTGTCGCACAATAAATGTAATGCATTTTATTCCATATTAGAAAGGCAGAGTTTGATTATTCTGATCAGTTTTCCTCCCCCAAAACGTCTGCTTTTTAATCCAAGCCAAAGGTAAATTAACCTGTATTTGGGTATTTGACATGAAATAACATATGGCCTACATGAACTTTTTTATTTAACAAAACATGCAGCTGAGCTTCTGCTGTTATTGCCCATGAAATATGATGCAGTTCTCTTAACACGGTATGTCACATACGGGAAAAGCTGTCACATTGAAACTTGTCATTAAACAGCCTCTATCAGCAAAATTAAAACAGCAAAGCATATATGAAACATGAAACAATTCCTGAGACAGCTAAAATGTAAAAAGGATAATAAAGTGTATACATACATAACATTAAAACATGACAATTTGCCTCGACCTGAAAATACCCTTATCTGAGCACAGTTCAAGTAGGGTTGCAAAGGTGTGAACATTTTTCAGTACATTTCCAAAAGTTTCCAAAATTTCTCTGTTTCTGAAATTTACCAGAAACGTTCCACCTCTTCGCAACCCTAAGTTCAATAATTCAGTTTTCACATTTTAATAACCATTTTTACTTTTTTTTTTATTTATTTTTTATTGCCATGCCATTTCTGTTGATACATGTAGTATGCTACACTACAGAACAATGCTGTCACTCCTGGGCTTTTCGTGTCAACTACCCATCTATTCAAACACAGAGAAAAATATAGGAGTGTTGTTTGTCAAAACTGTAATTATAAACAGGTGAGGGATAATAAGTAACAGCTATATATCTATGATATATAGATATATCATGAGCCTTATGAGTAGTATCCAGTTTGGCTGTCTTGGCAGTGCATCTTTATATACTTTGTATAAGGTAATTTGTGATGTGATCTATGAATAAATATCTTTTATGTTAATCTGTCATTTTTGGAAATAAAAGACTGAAAATGAAAATGAACATAAAATGACTGAAAATGAAAATGAACATAAAATGACTGAAAATGAAAGTAAACATTTCTATATACTGTATTTATAAGTCTAGAAAGCCAGCAAATATATTCAGGGAAATTATTGTTTTATTTTATTTTATATTTTGACCTAGTACTTTATTTATTTTGACCCCTGTGTCACTCACGCATGCTGACAAAACACACATATATTACTTAACTACTTGTTATTCATCTGACTCATTTATCCAAAGTAACCCACAGTACAGTAATTACAGGGAGAGTCCCCCTGGAGCAATCTTGGGATGGGCGCTTCCCTCGAGGATGCAATGGTTAGAGGATTCATGGATCATCGATAATAATTTGATAATTTGAATTTGACAGCCTGTATCTTCAACCATTACACTACCCCACCCCCCACCATATGTTGTTGATTAGTTAGTTGTTGATTTAGACATTGTGTAAAAAAAATACACTGTCAGCACTGCATTTGTTGTAATGAGGTTGCTGTTCACTGAAGGCACTTCTGTTTTGTTTTATGGCTTCTAATAAATTGCAGACATATGAGGTATATTTAAAGCAACAATCTGGATCCTGTCCATGAGTTCTCGCTCTCTTAAGAGAATGTGTACGGACAAAGAAAGAAAGAAAGAAAGCAAGAAAGAGAAACACTATATGACATCATGCATCTGTGTTTAAACTTTGACCCCAAACCCTAACTCCTCCCTCGCTCTCTCTCTCTCTCTCTCTCTCTCTCTCTCTCTCTCTCTCTCTCTCTCTCTCTCTCTCTCTCTCTCTCTCTCTCTCTCTCGCTCTCTCTCTCTCTCTCTCTCTCTCTCTCTCTCCCTCTCTCGTGCTCTCTCTCTTCCTTGCAGTCAGCTATTTCACTTCATGCCCTGACATGTTAAGGAGCAGGAGGGGAGGAGATAAAGGACCAGAAAAACCGGTATGCAGCCGGGAGCCGAGGAGAATATGCGAAGGGAGGAGTGAATTTCTGTCTGTCCAGCAAAACCATAAGACCTCTGGAGGAAGGAGGAGGAAGAAAGGAGCAACAGAAAGACGTGAAGAGAGAGTAATACATTTGAGGCGAGACTGAACACTGCCATGGAGAAAACATAAAGTAAAAACATGAAACAGCACATTTCAAAGGTAAGATTTTGTGTTGTTTTTTTTTTTATTTACTCAGTGTCTTTCTTGATCTCTCTTTAACTTTATTTCTTTATTGCTTAGGACAGTTTGAGTTGAGGGTTTGGTCAGCACCTTGACTGACTTGCATATCCGAGCTCTCGCTTTCATGGGAGTTTGACAGATACGTTCTACCCCTCTTTCTATTTCTGTTTCCCTCTCAACCTTTCCTTCTCACATGTCATGGCTGAGTTAAATGCCACACTTTCATTTAAAGGTGAAGTGTGTAATTTCTGTGCCGCTAGCAGCACCAAACGGAATTGAGAAAATAATGATAGTTTTCAATCAGTAAAAGCTTCCATGTTTTTGGAGCATAATGGCTAAACGCAGCACCACCAGATCGCTTGAGATTTACAGTACAGTAGCCTATGCCAAGAAATCATTCATAAAGTAAGCCACTCACAAACTAATGTCTGTGAATGGTGTAAACACTGTTGTACTACAAAACATTTTTTTCTGTTTTTTGAAAAAATTGGCGCAACCAATAGTTTAGGGTGACGCAATCTATATAATTTTATATTTCCTGTTGTAAATGTTTCACTTCTATTTTATTTTAATTATTCTGTTTTTCTATTTGCTGACCTCTGAAGCACTTGAGCTGCATTTTATATATGAAAGGTATTATTATTATTATGACTTGTATCTGCATATTAAACTGAGTTAGGAGAAAGTATTTAAACATCGGCCGAATTACACCCTTCTCATCAAGCTTTATGTTTGTTTTGTCTTACAGGGCTTCTGACTAACAGCATGACTTGGACCTACGGGATTGCAAAATACAAACACACCTGCAGCCAACAGTCATCTGAGGACACTCTCTCTGATTCTCCATGCCGGAAACCTTTCGGTAGCAAACATTTGCATACAGCCCAACCGAACCCCACTGCTTTTTCTTAGCATCAGTGCCAGTTGTTTGAAGAGATTCCAAGAGCCACCTACTTCGCTTGTTCTATTAGGGACTATGGAAGAAGGTAAATCCTCATGGTCCTTCCCTGTTCATCTCCTGAGGGCCAGATGAGGAGCATGTTACCCAGCTTGTTACGGGGCCGGCGGTTCTACTGCCGTGAATGGGCCCTCGAGAAGCTACAAAGATGCCTAGAGGTGCGAGACTCCTCCAAGAGAGTGGAGGGAACAGCCCGTGTCTCTCCAGGGATCCTAGTGACTGGGGGCCCGGGCACGGGTAAGACAGCCCTCCTCACAGAACTGGTTTGGCCTCAGTCGGAAGCATGCAGGGCGGCAGGGTTGGCATCACGGTGTTTGTCCTGGCACTATTGCCAGCGAGAGGATGCAGGCAGTATTGAAGTGTGGAGATTTGTCCTGGGGCTGGTTGAACAGCTGAAGGAAAGTCCACTTCTGGAACCGAACTATGTGAAAGCGATAAGCAGTGCTGCTATTGCTGCTGTCCTGGAGCCCCTCCACTGCCAAAGAGAACCTGATGACACTTTTAAAAGGTTGGTTTATACATTGCAATGTCACTTATCATAATTGGATAGAAACCAGAGTTACAAAGCTAGATTTTTTAGATAGCCTGTTTCTTCTGAAGTCTGAACTGTAGAAAATTATGTGAATGAACACATAAATGAATTATATTTAAAGTTAAGGAGTAAATACAATGTTATTAGAACCTGATGTATCAATGCAATATCATGAGGAAAAAATATATAATCGATATATGGCATATGTAACTCTGCCATAATACTACTTCTTAATTTTCAGTAAGTACTTAGTTTCTTCTTGAAAATAGTTTTATCTAATGTACAAATTACAACATTTTGATATAGATTATAAATCTTGTAATTCACTATTTCAGTATATCTAAAAAACACTTTTTTCTTTCTCTGAATTTCTCACATTTTTCTCTTGCTTTTGCTCTGCAACAAATCACTCACTGTTCAAGATCCCTTTGAACTCATTTCTGTCAGCCTTTAGTTCTCCAAGCATTTCATGTTTGCTCTCCAAGCATTACTCCTGTGAGAAATCCCAGATGTTTCACAGCTAGGCCTTTGGTGTACCTTACACGCTCCCTCTGTATTTCACATTGTTTGTGCAAGGAAAATGACACTTCAGTGGGGCCTTTAAATGACTTAGACATGTTGTTGTGTTTCTTGTCTAACAGAGTGTCAGGCTCCAGAACATTTTAGCATTTAACATGGAATTTTAAGATCAAATAATCAATTATACCTTCAATTTGTGACGTTTTGTGTAACAAATAAAGCGTCATTGCAGAAGATGCTTGTTTTGAATATAATCCACACAGCTTTCTCTTAGTCTTTTTTAAAAGACAAAAAATGAGTGCATTTTGGTCTGTGATATTTGGTTGTCAAAGCCAGAGGGAAAAAAAACATACAATTTTAAAATCATGTAAACACTTTTTCTTGCGTTTTCTGGTTATTCATAGTAAGCTGATGTTTTTAGTGTTTGTTGTGAATGTAAATGCACTCAGTGACATTTTGCTTGAACAAGGTTTCTTTTATTGTTTCCTACTAAACCCTCCCACCCCTTATATTCTCCCCCTCCATCGTATTTTCGTCTGATACCCCTCAGAAAGACTTTGTCAAAAGCAGGAAAAGGGGCTATTGTTCTGCTTTTCTGACACATATGTTTATTTATTTATTCCTCTCTTCGCAATAATGACGCCTATTCACAGTTATCACAATAGCCCAGCGTTCAGTGCAGATGGATGACGCTATTTACAACCTTCGGGGGAAAAAAGGGGGTAAAGACCAAGAGTCGTGCCACTAGTTTGTGGAGTTTGTGTCCCTCGGTGAGGTCGCCACACTGATAACTTTCTCTATTCTATTTATCTTCTTTCAGTGTTTGCGCTTACACTGGTTCTTTCAGTTTTCCCTTACAGATCTGACGTATATACAGGCCCACATTCCACATTTGCCTTACACATGCTGACAAACTGTTGTGATGTTTTTCTCTGGTCCTGGCAAGAGAATGTAAGAAGGGTTAGTTTAGGAGTGAAATGCGAGCGTCAGTCCCTGCTGTATTCAACATGCTCTCTGACGTACATAAGTTATCATTAACACTGTTTATTTAAAAGGCAACCAATGATGAGGACAGTTTATTTTATCAGGACATGAACTTCTGTCATCAGGAAATAATTATGACTTGTTCATCAGTTTGAAGCTCTATAGATTGTCTCTATAGGTAGTTGTAGTAAACAGAAAATTCCTTTAAGATTATTGTATTGTAAGTAGATTAAATGACTAAATGTTTTGCCAAGCACAATGGAATTAGCAACTGTAACCTATTCTCAGTTCTGATTTTGAAAACCTATCTGATTTTGGCAGTGTGGACTTGCAAATGTTTCCAGCTGAAGCAGTGGTTGGTTGTAAATCCTGTAGCCTAACCTTCAGCTGCCTGGCCATGAGCAAAAGCCTTAAACCTCCCATTTTGTCCACTACTAAAGTATAAAAAGTTTCACATAACTCTTCTCTTAGGTTTGATCTCTTAACCCTTCTCTGTTTGACAACTTTAACTTGCATGACCATTCCTGGGGTCAAGACAAGCCCATAGCTTGTCTTTGTAGACATAATGAGTCAGGAAGAACATTTATTAGGTTGTTTGGCTCAAGCTGTGATCTGTGAGCATGTTAAAAGGGCATTAGCTCAACAAATTATGTGAGCCCACGTGTTGGAGATAAGGAACCGATAAACACGGCATGCTTATAACTATGTATTTTATGGTGGGAGAATGAGACTGGAAGTTCAATACTGAACCATTTAACCAAAACAGACAAAATAAGGTGTGCTGTTTAAAATGCTATACTATTAAAGAAAACAAGTGTTGATATTAATTATTATCAGAACTATGAGCTATGCTGACTCTAAACAGAATGCAGCGTTTCCATTAGGCAAAGTATTATTTCAATTCATTTTCAATAAATTAGACAAAAAAAACAGGGCTACAAAGACATTTGATGAGACTTCCAAGCACAGATGGGGGCTCTGGCATCTCTGTTTGTAGATGGCCCTGAGGGCAGTAAACTCCTCTTTCATAACAGTTTTGCAGAATGGTTAACTGATGTTAAATACTGCACACAGAAGTTTCTGTGTTGTGTGAAGGATGGTCACCTTTCTTTGGCCATGTCCCTCTCTCTTCGAGCCAGTAGTTTGGGTACAGAGGAGACTTGCCAGCTGGCCCACCACCTCCTCAACAGTGGAGTTCATGAAGGGGAACCAGCCCTCCTGGCACTGTGGTTGCTATGGACTGGAGTTCCAGCACTTAATGGTGCCAGAAAAGACTGTTCTTCTAGTCATACACCTGTATTAGTTCAGCAAGATGTACTACAACTCTTAATGAAAAGTGGAATTTACCCTGCAAGCTGTTCACCAGACAATAGCTCCAGTGTCGGGATTCACTGTATTGGAGGAGGAGGCAGGATAGTTCGGCGAGCATTACAGAGGGAAGACTCTGTGAGAGCACTTCTTGACAGTGGAATCAGTGTGAACCGTACAGACCCATCAGATGGACGGACTTTACTAGCAGCTGCAGCCAATGCTGGACATGTAGATGTAGCAGCATTGCTGTTATGCCGTGGAGCAGACCCTTTACTGAACGACAACCAGGGGCAGACTGCACTGACGCTTGCTGCCAGACAAGGCCAAGTTGGTGTGCTGCAGGTGTTGCTACAGTGGGTGCAGGAGCAAGGGAGCAAGAGTCCTGCAGCACAAGCCCTGCTGGAGCATGTGGACAGTGAGGGATGGACTGCTCTTCGCTCTGCTGCATGGGGTGGCCACAAGGAAGCTGTGCGTCTACTTCTGGAAGCAGGGGCAGAGATTGATGGCTGTGATTCAGATGGCCGGACAGCCTTGCGAGCAGCAGCATGGGGTGGACATGAGGAAATTCTGTTGACCCTCCTTGATCATGGTGCTGAAGTAGACCGCTCAGACCGTGAGGGACGTACTCCACTAATAGCTGCAGCCTACATGGGTCATAAAGAGGCAGTGGAGATCCTTTTGAATGCTGGGGCCAATTTAAATCTAGCGGATGGGGATGGACGTACCGCTCTGTCTGTTGCTGCATTATGTGTGCCATCAGCAGCTGGAGGACGAGGGCATGGAGAGGTTGTAAGCCTTCTGTTGGAGCGAGGTGCCAATCCAGAACATAAGGACACAGATGGAATGACGCCTTTACTACTAGCCTCTTACGAAGGGCATGAGGAAGTGGTTGAACTCCTGCTGGAAGCTGGAGCTGATGTAGATGAAAGTCCTGGATCTCATCCCTCTGCTATCACTCCTCTTCTTGCAGCTGCAGCTCTGGGGCATGCTAGCACAGTTAACCGTTTGCTGTTTTGGGGGGCAGCAGTGGATGGCATCGACGGAGAAGGCCGCACTGCTCTCTGCTTGGCTGCAGCAAAGGGTAGTATTGAAGTCGCAAGAGCACTGCTGGACAGGGGTTTGGATGAGAATCACAAAGATGACCTGGGCTGGACTCCATTGCATGCTGCAGCTTGTGAAGGTCACAAAAGTGTGTGTGCAATATTGACAGAGCAAGGTAGCATGGCACGTGTGGGTGAGCTTGATGTAGAGGGTCGGAGCCCTCTAATACTAGCAGCACAAGAAGGGCACTGCAGTACAGTCAGGCTACTTCTAGACCGAAAGTCACCCATTGATCATCGTGCATATGATGGACACTCTGCACTCAGTGCGGCCGCTCTCCAGGGATATCGGGAGATTGTGGAGTTGTTGATGCGTAGAGGGGCAGACACTGATGTCCGTGATGCTGAAGGAAGACCTCTTCTTTATTTGCTGGTCCTGGAGGGCCGTTTAGACATGGCCATCCTACTCATTGAAAAAGGCGGTGTCCCTCTGGAGTCAAAAGATGCAGAAGGGCGAACTGCACTCCATGTAGCAGCTTGGCAAGGAGACCTGGAAGGTATTGAACTGTTGCTGAAATATGGAGCTGACCCAAATGCTAGAGATCTTGATGGTCGGCCTCCTTTGCACTCTGTGGCCTGGAGAGGTCATGCAGCTGCTGGCAGGCTGCTGCTTAGGGCTAAAGGTCTTAATGTAGACCTGGCTTGCAAACAGCAGGGTGCCACAGCACTTAGCATTGCTGCTCAGGAGGGCCATGCTGAAATTGTGGCCTTGCTTTTAGAGAAAGGTGCAGAACCAGACAATGTGGACCGTTATGGCCGCAGCCCAGTGAAGGTAGCAGGAAAACAAGGTCATTTCACAATTGTGCGACTTCTGGAGAGCTATGGCGCAAAGCCCTTCTCAGGTCTCATACCGTTTACACCTAGTGGTGCTCCCAACAATTCTTATCTTTCAGCCATAGTCAAGACCCAAGCATCCATTAGTTCAGGAGAAGTGGGTGTTGATGGAGTCCCAGCCACATCTTCTCCATCTTCGACCTCAGTTTCTGCCTCCTGTTCCCCAGCTTCCACTGCAGAGCGTTTCCACTCCATGCCTGCCTCACAGACTTCCTCCTCCACCTGCCACTCCCTGGCCACAGTACAGACTGTGCCTGCTGACAGCCTGAATTTCATCCAGCAGATTCAACAACATTCGCTTCCTCGTTGCCGCAGTCGGCCATCCACCTTGCCTCTACCTGGTTCCAATCCAGCCAGTCTTCAGGGCAGAGCTTCTAGGCACAATCAAAAGGCTGTTCCCAAGAGCAGTCCCACAAATGAACAGTACACACTCACTGAACTCCTGGACTCAGACAAACCCTTAAAAGGGCTTGGATACTCGGTGGATGGCAACTACCTCTTAAAACCTAAAACTCCTTACATCATCGCGGATGTGATAGAGAAGAGCCTCAAACAAGCTGTTGGAGTAGATCTAAAGTGGAACTCAGTTATGGCTTCCTTAGGGGTGATGCCAAACCAACAGGGCCCAATTCGACAAACAAAAATTGGGGAAAGCCCCCCTTTGGGGTACCCACATTTTCACTTCCAATCCCATGCACAAAAAGATGATTGGGGAGGAATTCAAAAGACATCCATGTCTCCAACCATTGACCTTTCAGCTATTTCCCCACATAGTGCCTTACCTAACGTGTCTGTGTTTAACATGACAACTACTGACCCCCAGCTGAATCTCAAACAGGCAATTAAGCTGCAGTTTGAAGGGCCAACCAGTGCAGCACTTTACAAGCGGGAAACCCCTCTCTGAGGTGAGGCATTATGTTTCTCAAAATATAGAACATTACATTTGTCTATATTTAATTGTAATTTGTTGATTGTCTTGCAAATGTAAAATTTATTAATTGATCAAAGACAGGTTTATTTATTTGAATGTCCATAATGTGTCTTATCAGGCAGTTGTCAGATATCCCAGATGGAAGTGAACCACATTCTGCTTTTAAGCTGCAGTCTTTATGATTGTGACTTGGAATGTCTGGAATTCTAGTGACAACTTTGTCTTTTGTAGGCAAACCTGGACATTTGGGAGTTCAAGGAGATGAGGGTTGTGTAGGAGAATCACTGCACTCTGTGTGGGAGGTGTTGAGAGTAGAGGAAGATGGCAGATGAGAGAGTCATAACACCCTGACTTCCACCTCTCTTCAACCCATTGACCCCAAAGCACAAAAGAAGAGGGAAAGACATAGGGAGCATAGAGGAACCTGAGTTCAAAGGCTCAAGCTGTGTACATTCCAGAGCTTTTCCTCCTCATGCCGTCACAATGGAGAGCAGCTGGCACTCTCTCATACAATCACAGGAAAATATTTTTACATTAAGAGGAACACTTATGGATATTTGCTCTGCTTGTGTTACGCATTTGCAAAAGTCAACATATACATACCCCATGGATTTTTGTTCCCATAACTCGACATAAATGACACAACTTTTCATAGACAAAAGAGCTATTCACTCTTTCATCTTCATACACATTGTGGCTCAGCAGTGCCACCTTTGTTTTATGTTGGTGAAATATAAGAGCTAATAAGAATGCTTTTGAAATTGGAGTGCATCTACATTCAGAACAGTGTTTTTGGGTGACCTGCTGTACATTGCTCAGTCTCTGTGATTTGCACCCAGACTTGGACTTACTGGGACAAAAAGGGCTTTTTCAAAGTGCCACTGAAGCTTAGTGGCTTTATATTCCAGATATGTTTTCATGACTAGTGGAAGTCATCACTAATGTTTATGTCTTTTAAAGATGTGCTAAATTTAACATACTATTTGTTTCAGGACATAGACGTGTCCATAATTGCTATTCCTAATTTACCTTGAGTTTTTTAAATTACGCATTCTGTCATATTGTCAACAGTGAACCAGTTGACCTATCACCAAGGCAAATTCATATTTTAAAGCTTCATTCCAGTTGAATTACAGAAAGAGATGGAAAAAAGAAAGTGAGAAGTTACAGTTCTACAAGTAGTTAGGGAGGAAGATATGACCTCCCATACATGCTCATCAGAGGATGACTAAATTTAAGTTGAAGGTCTTGACGCGACGGGAGACGGTGATGTGAATTTTACATTTTGCCATAGGTAATTTATAATGTTTATACTGTTTTGTATGTTAAAATTAATTGAGATGCACTAATTAAAACTGTATATGATTTTGTGTGTCTGTGTGCAAATTTGTGTAGGAACAAGAAAGAAGCAAACCTGGCATCCCTTTGGTTTACATGCAACAGATCATTTAGCACCTCTGTCCCTCACATTTATTCAGTACTCTTATAGACAAAGTAAAACCTAGAGAAAACTCAAAAATCTGCTGAAGCTGGTTGCCTTTTGATTTATTACAGTTATGTATATGAGTTTACTTGACTCTATAGAATTACCATTTGTGCATTGAAATATTTCCAGCATTTGTTAAGCTATCATGTTATATTACAAAATTACATAAATCAAGCTTAGTAGATATAGTTCATCCCAAAATATTATTCAGTCATTGTCATGTATTTGGAAAGAAGTATGGTGTAAGAAACTATGTAGTCGCAGACGTGTAAGAAAAAATTTAGTCACAATTCATTCTTTGTATTTCTCTCTACAGAAATTACTCTGTGCAAATATGGTTGTTGTGTTTCTCTTGAATGCACCAAGTTAGAAAGCATGAAGAATGAATGGGCTTTGAAAGGAAACATTTTCAGTTTATAATGACTTAATCTCAGTCACTTTGACAGATACTTTGCAAGGAAAAGAAAAGCCTGAACATTCATGTTCAACAGAAAAAAAAAAAGGTTTTGAAAAACATGAGGGTGATGATGGACATTTTTGGGCCAAGCCATTTAAGTTAAATCCATGGGCTCAAGAATTTAGATGTTTTCTGTCCTTTTGAGTTATATTTCTCCCATACTCTAAATGTAAAGATGTTGCACATTCTTCAACAAGCCTTTCCTTATTTGTGCATTCTCAGTAATGGCTAACATTTGTCGTGCCCCCCACCCCCCTCTCTCTCTCACACACACACTCTCTCTCTCATCTCTCCCTGTGAGGGGTATTTTTATTGCCCCTCTAAAGTTTACTTGCTACTTCTATAAATCCCCTCAAAGCAAACAACTGTGGCTGTGTGTGTGCAACAACATGCAAAATGCCACTCATTTGGCATTTTGCCTGTTGCACATACAGGCACAGATACAGACACTGTTCGTACTGTAATATACACACTGTAACCATAGGATACAGCACAAAACACCCACACTAGCCACCCATATTGAAGAAACTTACACACAAACACACACTGCAAGGAAATATATGTTTATTCTTAGATGGGGGAAAAAGGTAAATTTCCTTAAGACATGCACAACATGAACAATAGAGACATGCTGCTCCATATTAATAATTATTTCTTATCCATAAGCACATTATTATAGGTTGCATGTGGATCTCAAATATGCAGCTACATACTGAGACTTGTGGCAAAACTGTTACTGTTACAACAAGCTAGACCTCGTAAACGCAATATCAAAAAGTTTACTATGTCATTATCTATTTAAAATTCTCGGAGACATTTTAATTTCTCAGACTGCTGAGACATTTTAAAGCATATCATTTTCATTTTGAAAGTTGGTTATCTGTGTTCTTTTTTTTTTTTTTTTTTTCAAGACATAACTAGTGTTTACCCTATCTCGGATAATGTGGTTTGGGGTTTGTAGATAAACTGCAAACTCAGGCATTCCTCTATAATGAAGGACAACTTGCACTGAGTTCTTTTATAGGTGGGTTTTTTCTCTCTCTTGTAGACACTGCAGGATATATTTTTATTTGAGAATTTTAAGAGCCATCTAACATTCCTTTCTGAATATCATTCTTTACTAGAAGGCTTATTCATTGCAACCATTATATGGGACCTCACAGACAAGATGGTGGTATAAAACCATTTTTTTCTATTATTCCTGTTAAATCATAATAATGCACACCAGAATATCTTCATTAAGATGGAATCTAGCTTTACAAAAAATTCAAAGCGACTCAGGTTGCATTCAAAATATACATTTGATTAGTTCATGCATTCCCTGTGAATCAAATCCATGACCTTGGCATTGCTAAAGACATGATCTGTTTTTAGCTATAGGAATGTGACCTATTAAAATGCTTATGGTTAAATATTCAATGTAAAAGACTGATACATTTAATGTCCTAAAACAATTTAAGAATAGAAGAGGTAGAACGGGTTTCTCTTTCTGGGAAGTTCATCTGCCCATGTTTTCTCACAATTCCACATCCCACACTATTGTGACCTGACAAATAAACATATTATCTGCTATAAAAGTGTTTCAAACCACTATTAAAGGTCATTAATTGCACATGAGGCAAAAAAGGGACGTGTGGACTTGTGATGAAAACTTTAGTTGAATTAATTCCGGCTTCAGTCACACACAAAGTCAAAGACAAGGCTCCACTTCCTGACCGACAAGGAGACACCACATCCTCTGACAGTGTAAACAAGGGAGAGGAACACCTTTCTATTCAATAACAAAACATTTTTAGGACAGAGGAAGGATATCACAAAAATTTCTATCAAGTTTTTTTTTTCTGTATGAAATTAGGTTATTTAAATGTCTGCATGTTTGTGTAGACCCTTCAAGAAGTGAGCAGATGTCATTTTGATTAGATTATAGCCATCCTGTTTTTTTGGGACCAAGCCAAGAGAATGTGTTTAGCCTAAGTTCTAACTGAAAAGGAGTAGCAGACTGGGTGTGTTTGTTAGTCAACATTCCCTGTTGAGCTTTGAGAGACTCTCACTCATGCAGCAAGTCATTACAGAACTCCGAGGATTCTAGAGCTAGCAGGAAAGAATTCCAGAATTATTCAAAAGATTCCAGCAGTTCTGGCTCACTTTTTAATATTTCACAGTCATACCAAGAATGTTTCACATTCAGTAGTTACATTCCTGTTGTTATTCAAGGGCCAAGTATACTAATGATGAACAGAAGTGCTCAAATAGACAAGCTTCTTTAATGTTATGTTTTAAGAACAAAGACATTTACACATATAAATTGAGATATTTTAGAAAGCATCCTTTCTAATCATCCTTGAAGACTTTTTTCAATGAACAGGAGCCTTGTCCATTTTTTTTTTATTTTTATTTCATTCTCGAGTTCACTGATGAACAATTCCTTTCCAAGTGCATTAACATGTTGATGTATCATTACTGCCTCCTGCTGCCAAGGTTCTTCAGTATCAATAGCATACAGTATAGTCTCATTATTACAAAGTCAAACAAGTGCGGTAGAAAGAAAAATCGCCAGGGATTTGAAACAAATGTCAAAGCACCACACACAAAATTCTAGGTTAGTCAGCCTATGCATTCAGTCTGACTTGTCTACAAAAGTAAATAAAATTTTTTTCAAGCTCTTTTGTGACTATGTGAAGTGTTTTGTTAAGCTATACATATACAAACACACATACACACACTTATATATCACCTCCAACCTAATAAAATATCCCACAAAATATTACTTGGATTACATCCCAACTGGTCTGTACCTCACTATCAGTGGATTGCAAAAAGTTGATTGCAGTGGAAGTAAAAATGATGGGTAACTATAAGACTGTGTGACTGAGGATTACATTAAGCAGTTATTTGGCATGTATATTTGAGGGATTTCAATGCTAAATAAACAACTAAATACAGATATTACTGATCTCTACTACTATTCTTGCATATTGTAGATTGTCAACCATTGCTATACACCATGCAATATGATATTGTACTGGCAGCAAATAGTAAATTAAATATATATTGCTAAATACTCATCTCATTAAGTCACACTTTATTTTAAGGTCCAATTCTGTTGCTTATTAATAGTTAGTAATGTAGTTGTTAAATTTAGGTACTGAGCAGGATTAGGGATGTAGAATATGGTCATACAGAATGTGCTTTGTAAGTACTAATAAACAGCCAATATCTTATCAGTAGGACTGTTAATAAGCAACTAGTTAATAGAGAGAATTGGTCCCTATACTAAAGTTTTACCTGTTTCTGAATTTTAAGCTTTGTGGTAACTCTTCATTTGTACTGATAAATTTTAACGCAGTGGTGCATGCTGTCTGACACAACTAGCAGATCATTAGGTAAAAGTGCCAGTCCACGAGGGCTGCTCAGTCCATCAGACAAAATCACTCGTCCTGCCCCTTCAGAGGGATATAGAAGTACCCGATGTTTTTCTCCCCAGTCTGCCACCAAAACAGACCCATTCTTATCAATGCAGAGGCCCCAGGGACAGGAGAGTACAGGTCCTAAGCTAGAACAAACACCCAGGATTCGTAGGGTGTCCCATCCTGGTCCTAAAATCTTCACACAAGGCTCCTGCCCAATTTCACTGCCTCGCTCAGACACTGCAACCAGACCAGTGTGCAAGCATGCTGAGACCAGGTAAGGCCTGTGGAAACCGGTCACCACAGTGCGTTCCAATCTGGAACCGGTTTTAGGTTCAAGTTTTAGTGCTGTAAGAGTACCCTTTCGTATATCTGCAACTAGGAATTCATCTCTTTGGGTGACTGTCACTCCCCTTGGTGCTTCCAACTCATCTCGAGGTACTCCTGCAATGTAGGGTCCCCCTCCAAATGTTTGGAGGAGACGCCCATGCCGACTAAGGATCAGGAGAGCCCTTTCAGCTGCACAGCTCAGAGCAATCAGACCCTTGGCGTTAACAGCCACATCGAAGTAATTGCGGCAACGTCGCAAGGAGCCTCCCAAGTCATTAGTTGGAGAAGTCACGTGTTGTAGGACATTGCCATGGGCATCAGTTACCTGTACACGAGCATTCCCACAATCCACAAGGAATAGTTGACCTTGCGGTGTTGCATGGACACCACTGGGCAGCGTGAGATCAGCACGTCCTGAGCCTTGTTTACCAAACTGACGGATAAGACGCACCTCTTCTGGTCCCAATGATTCGGCATCCTCCTCTAACTCTAGAAGAGCTGGCTCACTCCTTTCTCCACGCAGTCTGTTCTCATTTAGAGAATTCTGCCGTCCTGATGTGAAGTGGTTCAGTCTTTTCTGAGATGAGTTATCGATAACAGACATAGAGAGTGAACGAGACACTCTACTGGAACAAGAAGCATGCTGTTGGGTGTTCTTTTGAGAGAAGTTACCATGACTGGGACAGGATTTAGTCCGTGATACCTCATTTTGTTTTTGGAAGGTGGGGCTTGAGAGTGAGGACATATGACTCTTAGTTACACTCCATGTGCTTGACTGGTGTGTTCTGGTTTCACTGAGGGGTCTGTTGCAGTAGGAAAGATCAGCAGCTGATCTGGAGAGGCGAGCAGTAGGACGCAGGGAGTTGGAAAAATCTCTGGGGGAGCTGACAATGAAAGTGTACCCAGAATCTACACTGTCTGCAGGGGATGGTGCATGATTTTGTGGGTGGTCATCTGAGGATGCACTTAATTGAGAACAAGACCTGCCACGAAGGAAGTGGTTGTTGTTGCCTTGATTAGAGGTGATCTCTCTAGGGGTCTGCGGTGATGAAGATCCAGTCCGTCTGGCATGATTTTTATGGTCAAACTGATGCAAGAACCAGCCACCTTGTTCTTGGTGACCTTGTTCTGGAGATGGAGAGAATTCTCGTTGCCTTCTTGCTCTCTGTGAAGCAAACTGTGTGATTGGTCCATTTTGTATACGGGCAAAATCCTCACCCTCTGACTCGCCATGACTAAGTAATGGTACAGCCAAAAAGAGCTCATCTCCTTTGCATTCAGATGAAGGAGATTCACACTCATCCTCCTGTGATGAATCCCGTTCACATGGGACTTGTTTAGGGGATCTGTGACGCAGTTGTGGGGACTGACACTTCACCTCTTCCCCTGATTCTTCATCACTTCGGGCTGACAAACAGAGCTTCCGGACAACCCTCAAGTTCCCACTAGTTGATGAGTGCCCTGGATTAGGCCCAGGAGATAGGACTTGGTTTTGCCCAGGACTTGTTCCATCAGGTGTGCTTTGGCCCTCTCCACTGAAATGAGCCCCACCGCGTGCTTCATTGGCATGGAGGGAACACATTTGCCCCTGCGGCCCACAGCCTCTAACAGAAAAATGGAAGCTGTGGTCTTGTACTTTGATCTCACCAAAAGTTACAGTGTTTGGTTGGGCACTTGGTTTAAAAGACACACGTTTGAGTGCAAGCGAGACTTCCCAAGGTAGGACTAGTTCTGCAACACCCTTAAGAAGCTGGTCCCGCTTCAGATCCCCCTCTCGATCTTTATTACCATCACCACCACCACCACATATCTTTATTAGCTCTCTAAGTTTAATGACTTTATATAACCGCTGGTCAACCAATCTTTGTCCAACCCTTATGGCTGCTCCATTGTCCCTCTGCACCTGTTCCAGTCTGAGCTGTAGGTCCCTGTGATCCTGTTCTACCCTTTCCAGTAGACGGCGCTCCTCCCTTTGTGCTCCAAGCAGTGCACGCTCCACACCTCGACCTACCATCTGTGCTTCAGTCACTTGTTGCTCCCTCAGTCGCCTGAGGTCTGTTTCACATCTTGCTAAATCACATAGGGTCTGGGTAGCCCAACACGATAAGGAAAACGAAGAGGCTGCAGGAGTAGGCTTTGGGTCCTCATGACCTTCTATGTCTGACTGTGCTGATGGGCTTAGAGGGGGCTGTGGAGATGTGCTAGGGGAAGACATGTTGCTCACTGGAGATCCAGTAGACATCTTTGCAGACAATTTGTAGAGGCTATTTGAGAAGGCTTGTATCAAGGCCTTTTTTGGACCTGTTAGGAGAGGTACAGAGAAAGAGGGATTAATACTGAGGCCATTAGAAAAATTAGATTCATTGCACTAATTTGTATTTAATATTAAGGCGTTTACCATAAAAAAGACTATGGTAATGACATTAATTTAATCAATATAATTGAAAATATCATAATATGACATTAAAGCACAAAACAAACAGGTTATGAAAACTCATCAGAAGATCCTCTCTCAGGTAAAAGTTTTAATCTTCATTTCGCGATGGTCTCAATTTGTTAATGTTACTGACAAACAGGTTTCACATCAACTTTGCAAACACTCAAATTAGCCAATAATTCTAAAATATTCAAGTGGAAAAAGTACATAAGAAATCCAACTTGCAAACGATGTGCTGGAACACATAATCAACATTTCATGAAGCATGTCTACAGCTATCTTTTGAAACTGACCTTTACAGTATATGGCACCACTATTACTAATTTATACTGTATTAAGTATTCTTGTCATATTGGAGTCTCAAAGTGAAAAATAAAATGCAAAGACCTACTTATGTGACTTATGTGAATAAAACACCTTAATGTGCTTTTCAGGTCAAGCAGTCATGCATCATCAATACTCTCTTTACAGTTTAGGAAAAAAGCAGATGTAGTTGCTTTACTGCAACCACAGTCATGACAACAGCAGCCATGACAACATAATGATACCACAGTAACAAAAATAAAATAAATAAATACACCAATTAAATAATTGTAATACAGAGTAAATTCACATTTTATAATTAGCATAATATATAATTATATATAATATAGCAATAATGTGCCGTATATTTTAAAATAAGTATTGAGGTGAGAGTAGTGCAGGAATAATGTAAGTTCACTCTGAATACTAATACAATTATTATCCAAATTACTGTAACAATGTTTTGCAATTAAGCTTATGATTTTTATCACCAGTTATTACATCAAAATATATGCTGGATTATAACTTCAGAAATATTAAAACATTTAAACAAGTATATCACAGAAGCTAATACATTTTTTTTTTTTTAAGTTGTTTCATCTTACACTTTTTTATTGTCATAGCTAAGATGTTTCTTGGAGATAACAACAGAACACTCAAGCCATTGTTTCAGGCTGTTGTACTGACTGAAAGTAGGAAACCTTAAGTGGCTTACTTCTGGAATTTGATATGGTTTGCGGTCTTGCGGAACAGTTGCTGAGCACATTTGAGAGGGCAAACAGTGAAACAAGACCAGAGAACAAGCGATGCACATTTTGTTTGTCTTTTCTGACTGCCTTTATATTACTGGTGTATCAGCTATATATGGAACATATTAGTGTGCTACTGATTATTTATTTGCTTTTTAGTGTTAGCATTATTATTAGTTCTCTTTTATTACTTTCCCTATTTAAGAGATGCAAAGAAAGTATCTCTTTCCTACTGTACTGATATGCATGTGATAAACAAAACTTTGACCTTGACTGACAGATAGAAAGCTGAGAAACTCTGACAGAACTGATGAATCGAGGGAACCAAGGAATGGCTAGAGGAAGACTACTGGAAAACACACAGAGAAAGTGTGGCAGACAGACAAATGTGAGCAAAGGAGAGGGAGAGACAGATAGAAGAAAGAGAGTCAGAATATTTCTAGCACTGAGGAGATTATTAGCATTTCAAATTCAGGCAGGCAGGCAGTGAATGAAGGAGGACAGCATATATGTGGGAGGCAAAAGACAGACTAAAAAGGAAAAAAAATGTCATCGCAAAACTGAGAAGTGCACTTGCTCTCCCTTGCTCACTTGTAATTCTCACTCTGCAGCCTTCTATCTCAGCTCTTCAGGCCCCTTCAGGCCCAGTGTGACATCAGGCTACACATCAGCACAACGCTCTAATACTTAATTCATGATGAAGTTTAAAGCAGTCGAGTCCAAAGTGTGCATGTGTAGTGGGAGGAAGAGATGCTGCAAGTAAAGAAAATTAGGTTATTATCAAAGGACATGAATATTCATGCTGTGAATATACCATTTGATAGCAGTGCATAATTGATATGCATGATAAATATAATGCAGTTGCTCTTAGATTTGAAAAAAAAAAAGAACTGCACACTATAAGTGGGATAAATAGCAATATACAACAATCTAAGGAAAAGCTTATCAGCAAAATTGTGTAATGTAGTACAATATTTCCCATTCTTCCCATACAATTTGAGACAGCACCTAATATACAATGCTATATTACAGCACAAGTCCTGATTGGTTCAGTGTGAGAGACAACTGTATAAAAGAGAGGAGGGACAAGGTAGAAATATAGATGTCAGCAAGACATGCCAAGCAAGAGAATATCTGAAATAATGACATAAGGGACTGTTCCTAGTCATTCTATTTGCCAAATCAGCAAAGTTTTCTCTGTGTGTAGTTAAAAAAAAAAAAAAGAAAGAAAGTGCGCAATTGTAATGGCACAAAGAACATTCAGTCTAAGAAGATTTATAAATCTTTGAAAAAAGAATGCCAATGTTGTCTACGTTTTCCACAGTCTCGGTACTTCTTTTGTATGCTAATTTAGAAAACTGGAGACTAAACCATTGCATTGCAGTAGAAATGTGAATAGACATTTGCATAAGCGTAACACTGCATACAAAGTCATCTGATATGCTGCATGTGTTTTTGTGTTCTCCTGTGTCTTTTCTGTAGGTATCCTCTCACGTTACCTCTTACATTATCTATGAGGCATGCTGCAGATGAATTCTGCATATTGGCTTTGCACAAGAAGGACAGTGAACAAAAGCAGTTAACTATTTTTAGCGTGCAATAAACAGTTACTATACTAAACTAAATCTATCTTCATGCAAAAGCAATTAACTATAAATATCACTCCACTAAACAAACTGCAAACTGGCAGTGCCAGATAACATTATGAATAGTTTCCAACTACTTATTTATAACCAGATAAATGTAACACAAGTAATTTACAATGATGTTCATTAACTGCTCTTTAAAAATATTGTAAATCATTTAAAACACTGTATTTCTTTTAACAACTTAAAAATGGCCATTAAAAGAAAACAAAACATCAGCGTATTTCAAAAGCAGTGTTCAACACAAAACTAACCAGAAAAAAAAACTGGTATTTGACTGTATAATACTAGTGAAAAAATATTTGGTCTTTAATTCTAAAAATTGAACTGAAGTTGAAAGTCTTACCTGTGGCTGTCACCTGCTCCTCTGTCACTACCCTCCTCTGCCACAAGCATGATTTTTTTTTTCTCTTATTAGTTGCCCCACTGTTGCTAGGAAACGGTACAGAACTAATTCAATTAACTATCAGTAACCTTGGTGTGTGAGATTATGAGCTGACCTTAAACACAATTTTCATGAAGAATTAGTTAAGAGAAAAATTCCAAATGTAAAGGTATTTATTTGTCACAATGTAAAATTAAAAGAATTTCAGGGCCTGCTAGTTCTACACTCCTCCTGCACCTTATATGTTCATTTCAATAGAGCAAACCATATTGCACATACAGTGCCAATCAAGCACTGTATTGAAATTGCTCTAACTTTGTATTTTTCTACATTATAATTTTCCGCAATCAATTCAGATACATAGACTCCTTGCAGTAATAAATTCTTATGTATGCCATTTATTTAATTTTTTATAAAGTTGAATTTGACCATTTTCTATCTTATTAACTTTAAAAACTATTTAATTATTATTTCTATTAAATATCATTCATTTGCAAAAATTAACAAGCAAGCACTTGCAAACCTCGAAACATGCAAATCTTGATAATGCTTTCAGCTAGCTGACTACAGAACAGATTGAATCTGACATAAAAAAAACTAAGTTCAGCTACTGGATAAGCAGCTCCATGAGTCACATGTCTAATCAAACAAGATGGCAATCATGTGGGAGTTTGAGGACCTTCCGCACAGACACTGGCTGTAGCTATATCAAAGTGTGCTCTTCACACTGTACATCTTTGAAGTTCATTGAACTAATCAAGACATCTGATAAAGCCCAGAGACTGTAGAAGTTCACAGTATCAATGTTTGCTTCTGCAGGGGATCTTGAAATGAAATGGCTTCTTGCAACATGCCTATGGCACCTCAGGAGGCCAAAGATGGCAGAAATCATGAGGGTTCATGAGTTAAACTTTAGTCATATATGAATAATGGCCACCTCAGATATTGAACATACTAGTGTGTAATTAATATTTCTGAATAAATTGGCTCAATTACAAACCATGTGAAGTGGCAAACCATATGACAATATTAAAGGGTGTGATTGCACCTCACTGGATTTTCTATGTAAATGGTTAAATAATCTATCTCCATCCAGTCATTTCAGTCAGCATGAAACTGCAAATGTGTGCGAGAACAAAAGTTGTGAAGGCATGATGGTTCAAATGTTTCATTCAGATCAAGGCCAGTTTGCCACATCTTTGTTAGAGAACCCATTCGATTCATGATCCTTCAGAGATCATTCTTATATGCTGATATGGTGCTCCATAAACATTATTATTGTAACGAACCTCCAATTATTTTAAAAGAGGTTCAACCAGACATATATGGAGGACAAAGGGGGCACCACGCCACAGACTTCATAGAAAAAGCTTACTTTATTGACAATGCTATTCAGAAAAAGAGAAACTTTATATAAATAACATTTAACTAAGTTCATCAAACATCAACTTGTAGGCCTTCTCTAGGATAAACAGTGATAACCAAGTGACATACAGCACTGCACTACACTACAATCCAGTGATTACTCCCCGCACCACACTTCACACTAATGTGATCACACAAATCATTTCAGGTGGTGGAAAGATCGATTCATTTCCCCTACCTTAGCACATACAGAGTAAACATGTTCGTACAAACTTTAAGAACACTCCTTCACAAAGACATCCGGATATATAAACCAGTACACACACACACACACACACACACACATATACTAGTAATGTTAGGTTCTTGAACGAATCGTTCTTTTGAGCCGGTTCTCTGGAAGTAACCGGTCGAGCCGGTTCACAAATCGAACTGAATCGAACTTTAGTTCCGGGTTGATTACGCTGGACGCCAAGAAAAAAGAAACTAAATTACGAAGTCACTTGCTGTCGCCACTTGCACTCTCCGATACCTGCGATGTCACTTGCAATCGACACAAATCGTGTGCGTTGCCAATGGAGACAAGACGCTGTGGTGGTGATTTAATGATTACAACTAATTTAGTACCGTAACCTACAGGGTCCTGCAAGATAAAGACAAGACCCGCAAATCCGTGGCTACAGAACAGCATGTGAACGCAATGCGCAAAGTCTCTTGTTGCGCGTTTTCCTCCTGTAGAAAAACATAAACACTTAACATGGCGTAATGT